CCTACAATGAATGAGTCTTGTAGTCTTCGATAAAATTTAGATCGAATTATGTGTTGATTATCACTCATCCATCTAAGCTTTTGTGATTTGATCTTTACGTAGTTATCAACTACATATTGCTGTAAGAGGCGACCACCACGAAGTAGAAGCGATTCATCACGTTCACAAATCTAAAATGATATAAAATTTCGCTCAACATAATATAATTTAAAAAATTAATATCATGTGTATAGAAATGAAGGTCTCCGGTTACTTGAAGAACATAAGAATAATAGTTACAACATGTCACTATTCTACGGTTGTTATTTCGAGTATTCACATCTCATCTCATCCATATGTTCTATAAGGTAACAATGGATATTGTAAAGCATCATAATAACCGACACAATCTTTGATACTCTGAAGTTGAGCATCTATAGTTTGCACAATGGTATCCCGATCTTGGTTAATTATATTGTGTATCCTCAACTCCTCCTAATTGATGAGGATACACAATATAATTAACTAATACAAACCCCTCTCTATCGATCTTGGGGATTGATTTGTCTAATGAATCAAAACTTCGAGATGTGTGTGACAATTAATCCATCATTCCATATAAGAGTCAATCAGCAATCTATCATCTATCATCCAGTTCATAGAGAAAAAGTAATTAGGATGTAGCAATATGGGCACACGATTGAGGGGGATTTCAAGCCGACTTTTTTCAGAAAAGCAGCAAGAGATATGGCAATGGATTGGTGGGCCTAATACGGCTGAAATGAGAATCTCTGTTCATGGAGTCCGCGAATAATATATAACTAGCGTAGAGAATCTCTGTTCATGGAGTCCGCGAATAATATATAACTAGCATTTATGTACGCACGTGACTAGCTTTCATACATTCAAATATTTAAAATAAATGAATAATTATAGATCATGCTAAAAGAAATTTTTCATAAACTAATTAAAACAGCTAAATTCATATAATAAAATCAGTTCAGCAAAAATAATATTTAATAAACAATTGATTGAATCACATCATTGCTAACTCATTGTGAAGTTAAGCACATCCTCTCCTCTTTAGTGTAGATAATATTATTTGTTAAAAAAAAAACAATCATTTGACAACTAATCACATTATTATTCGCGCGCGTGCAAAAGACATTTTTTATCATTGACATTACAAGCTTCTTAAAATGTTTTAAACGTGTTTAAAAATAGAGAAATTATATCACATTATTACTAGTCTATTATGAGTTACTTTTTTTTTTTTAAAAGCACAAAAAAATTAATTATTAAAAAAACTATTAAAATGACAAAAATACCCCTACCTTATTTTTTGAATTGCTTTGGAATGCCTTGTAAGTTTTTTGTCTTGGGGGCATTATTGTCCAAATATATTTTTTTTTTGATGAATATTGATGACACCAAAAGCACCATTAACCTTTTGTGTTGGCTTTTAAATATAAGATAAAATAATCACATTGGATGAGTTATTAAGCCAATGTTTAGTTCAGACGAGAATTGATGCTAAATAACTCATCCGATCTTAGTGCAGACGCCAGTCAATCAAACACTTCCCATTTTTGTAGTCTCAAACCATTATAGAAAATTTGGAGACCAAACAGTCCAACATATCAACAGAAACAAATAAAAACTCCTGACATTTCACCTCAAGTTCGGTTGTGTACAAGAGTGGCTACAAGCTTAATACAAATTCATATATGCTGTGGAGTGTGGCCTAGCTTCACACTGTTTTCCGCATAAATTTCTCTGGCTGAGCATTTTTATTTCCATATTAACTTGGTGTGAAATCTCTAACTTCCATTCACAAATACATGTTGAAAATGACAAACATATCATTCTCTTGGTGTAATAGTAAATTTTATCTAACAAAAAAGTATACAATACCCAGAAGGACAGTTGTATTGGATCTTAGAGGGAACCAAGTTACAAAGTATTGAACAATCCGAATATTGTATCCTCAACCCAAAAATATCTGGTAGAGTTGAATTCTTACTACACACCAGTTTATTAAAATCTTTACACTCACCAAAATCTGTGTATATACCCAATCTGCATCAGGAATATTTACACGAGAAAATTATATTTACATATATACATCTTCAAGGTGCGGGTCAATCTTACACTGTTAGGGGTTAGATCACTGAACAGCTTATAATTTAGAAAAAAAGTATAAGAACAAAGAGAAAAGCTGGGAGCAAAAAAAGAGAAAGTTAGAACGCATGCTAGGAAAGACAAATAAATCTAAGACCAGAGGAATATACTATGATGTACTTACAGTGATATCTCATAACTTTATGCTGCTTTTCTTGTTCTTGAGAGGATGGTTGGCTTTCTGTGTTTTTTGGGTCCCCAAAACAGGAAGGAGTGAAGCTGTCAGAGCATGACCTAGCCAGGGTTAATAGAACTGATACATACATACATACATATATATATGTGATTATATACATCTTTAGCCAAAGCTAGATCATGCTGGCAGCTTCACTTTTTCCCTTGTGAACTTGCTTTCTTTATGCAGAGACTAGGTCAACTCTTGCTCTCGTGATTGTGTGGATGAACAAAAGGAGAATGAATATCTACAAGAAGCTAGGGCTACTGGAGCACAGAATGAAAATAAGGAAAAAATGAAAAAAGGACCAAAAAGTTTAAGAAATATATAGTGCATGAACATCCACGACGAGGTAACAAAAATAAAAGAACATCCACGATAATAAAAATCAAAATTTCAAACAAAAATCTGATCCTTGAAATATATAAACCTGGATCATAACAAGTTTATGAAAATATTGCATAAACTTCAATATATAAAGAAATTATGATTTTAAAGAAAAGTATTGACCAAGAAAAAACTAAATCTAGAGCAAATCTTTGCAAGAAATTAAAAAAAGATACTATTTCCCCATTGGCCAACTTTTGCAAGAAAAAGAAGGATATTCTTTCTCCATTGGCTAACTAGAAAAGGAGAAGGGTTTTTTCTTTTGGAAAGCAAAAGAAGATGAAGTTTAATAAAAAAAAAATTGGGAAAGCTTTAGGAAAAATAAGGAGACTGGAGAGGAACGCAAGAGATGCAGAAACCTCAGGGCTTGTGTTAATGTATATAGGGTGGAACTGAGGCAGATGTTGCATTTGGATTGGTTGAAATGAGACAGATGTTAAAGAGGTAGATAAGGAGGTTCTTAAAAACCCTAGCCCCCTTCCCTCTTTGTAAGCAGTGAATTAAAGAGGTATCAGCATGTGGCAAAAAAAGGACTGGAAATTTAACAGCTATTGCAGCTATCAATCAAATCTGTATAGGCTGTGCTAAAACAGTGTTTAGGTGTCACAGGTGGAAGGTATAGAGCGGCTTTGCAGTGGCCATAGCCCCGAGTCTCCTTCTCTCTCGAAAAACCCTAAAGAAAATTTAGAAAACTGTAGACTGTGGACTGCAGGAATAGAGGGAGATGGGGTTCGTTCTAAAAAGTACTTAACAAAAATTCAAACACACTGTTGCTACACAACAGAAAGGGCCACGATACTTCAATTATTAGGTTGATAAAATTTTTGATTTAAGGGGATGTACTGACATTCTCAGCTGGAATTTTTTTTATTTTTCATTCTCGACTATTCTTCTCTTATTGTAATATTCCATATAGATCGAAACATTATACTTTTTAGTTTAATCTTTAAATTAACCATGCATAAAATTAATCCAATAAAGAATTGTTTAACTATTTGCTTACGTTGTAAAAATATTCAATGTTTAATTAAATATTAGATAGCTATTAGATTTATTGAATGGCCGTTAGATAACTAACGATTTCAAGTTTAATTGATACTAAACGAAAATGGATTTGAAAAAGTGGTTTAAAAAAATTGAAAGTTCAAACTTTGGTACAACAGTTAGCTAATGACAAGGAAAATAAGAAAAGAGAAGAAGAATTTTATTTTCGAATTTTTTATGGCTGAAAGAGCATCACAATTAGTTTGTACTTCATAGAGATATCTCTCCATTGGACGACAGTGAGTAGTCAGTTGTCAATTGATCATGTTTGTTGCAAGCGTGATAACTGAGCAGGAAACGCAAATGCAAATTCAAATTTTCGCGTTGTGTTTGATATTACAGGACGCTGTTCCTTCTGAGTTTTTGTTTCATATAAACTTGATATGATCTATTGATTCGATAAACGTGAATTTGTCATCAAAGTTCCTTTTTAAGACATGGGATCTGATCTGATGGATGGGTGCTTGTTTCGATGGAGATGAAGATCACAGTAAACGTTGGTCCTCTTTCCTTCCATGCCCGAGTCTCCATGCCCTGCGTCTGCGTGCTCTCTCATTGCAGACGGCTCGTTTTTTGACGACCAAGCTAATAGCTACCTGTGAGATGGCCTTTAAAAGTTTTTTTTTTTTTTTTTTGGACAAGTATGAAATCGATTGGATTTTTCTTTTCCATTCATAAATAAACTTGAGCAATTGGTGAAATAATTAGTCTACAAAGTTCCATTCATAAATAAACTTGAGCAATTTGTTTACAGTTTCTTAATGTGTTGGTTAATATGTGATCAAAGTTTAATTATTAGGTTGTATGACTAGTTGAACAGTTTAGACAAATGATATTATCTACATTAAAGGGAAGAGGTGGACTTAGCCTCACAATAGGCTAGCAATAATGTGATTCAAACTCGTCTTTGGCGAGAATCGAACCTTTCACTTATAACTAAAGAGGAATATCACTAGATCATAGTACCAAGTGACTAATCAAATTGTTAAACAACTAAAATGGTACATCTTATTTTCTTTCCTTCTTTTTTTTTTTTTTTTTTTTATCCATTTTCCATCATTTAAAGGTCCAAAAATAAAGAAATCTGAAGGTTGAGATGGGACTAGTCTTAACATCTGAAATAAGAAGTAAATGCATGAGTCGGGGCAGTCTGTGATCTGCTGCTATAGGGTAGGGTGCTCCCATATCTTTCCCTGCTAACCTGCAGCATAGTTACTGAGAGGAAGAAGAAGAGAGAGCAAGCAACCTTTTCATTTCTCTTGGTATGCTAACATTACATTTATTTGGCTGCTCAAGATATGCCATCATTTAGCCCAGACCCTATCGGGTTGGTTAGGAAATTGGTATCACATGTTTAATTTGCCACAACACATCACCTGTCAATACGGCATGTCAAATACAAACACGTCTCTTTTTTTCATTACACGACTTGTCATGTAACAAGAAATACAAACATCACGTAATAAGAGATACAAACAATACCGTACAGGAGATACAGACAATTGACTTTATACAACCTCTTGTGCTTGTGCCAAGTAGTCCCTTCTAGTACATGCAACGTATCTCTCTCTCAGTCTCTCGATCTCATGCACACACAAGAAAATCACATGCAATGTGTCTATCTCGCACTATCTGACCCACACACACAAGAAAATTATGTGACGAGAGATACAAGAATTTATCATGAGTAGTAAGTGACCTTTTTATGTTTCTACATCACAACTATGGTGATTTATTTGCCCATTCCTTCTTAAAAATCAGTAAGGTGAAGAAAAAAAACAATCATTCTTGAAGAACTATGGTTCATTTGGTGAAAATTTTCACCTGTTTAGTTTCACGAACTCGTCTGTCTGGTAGTTCCTGCGATTTGAAGTACGCAATTCCTGAATTATGTCGAAATCCATCCGAACTCTGTTGTTACATTGTAATTTCTCCTTCAATAGCTGCTGGAAAGCAACTTAATAACCAACTCCAACTGCTCTTTCTTGGCACACAAGGTTGGACTCAAACATGTTTTGGAGAAGTTCTTGATGCAAGCAGAATTTCCAACCATTGTATCCCGCACACTGTGCATTCGGGGAGCAGATAATTAGCACAAGAGATGTAGCGGCTAGCACATCGAACCAATGTTTCAATGATCCCACCAGCAGTAGTAAATCCAAGACATCCATACTTGTTTGTGAAGAAATTTAAACACAATGTTCAACTTTCACCAGAAATCGCCACAAGAACAGATACCATCTTCAAAGTGATGAAATCTATTTGCATCCCTCACAACAAGCACCCGCCTAAAAACTTTTGAAACTAGTTTAATGAAATGATGGCAATCGCAACAAACCCGAAGGTTCTTGGTGATTCGGATAGGGGTTCCTTCGGGAGTTTTAAGCAGACCGTATGCAATTGCCAGCCTTTCACTATGTCCATAAAGCATTTTAACTCTCTCTTCTTCCTCTACATTGTGCAAAACAAATTTGGTTTGAGCCACATAATCTACTTCTCTCTCCAATTTCTCTGTGATTTGAGCTAACTTGAGGTAAATATCATCGGACTGCGGATGAGATTTATCCCTCGCTGTGAATGTATGAACCTTGTTTCCAACCTCAATCCAACTACATCCCGGATTTTTCTTCAATCCACTCCCCTTCATTCTCAACCTCACTTCATCTACATCTTTCCATCTTCCACTAGCAGCAAACACATTAGATACAAGCACATAATTTCCAGGATTCTCCGGGTCCAACTCTAGGATTTTCTTTGCTGCAATTTCTCCGAATTCTTTGTTAGAATGAACCCGGCAAGCCCCAAGGAGTGCACACCATACCTCAGCAGTAGGTTCACTCTGCATGCTATTCGCAAAATGGTATGCCTCTTCCAACCGATTGGCACGACCAAGAAGATCAACCATACAGGCAGAATGTTCAGGCCATGGTTCCAAATGATAATCATCTCTCATAATTTCAAATATTCTTTTACCCTCATCAATCAAGCCCGAATGACTGCAGGCATATAGAAGAGCCAAAAACGTAATATGATCAGGAACAATTCTTTCACCTTCCATCCACTCGAATAAATCAATGGCTGCCTTGCCTTGGCCATGCATTCCATACGCATTAATCATGGTAGTCCACAAAATTAGACTTCTATTTTTAATACAGTTATATACCTCATATGCATTCTCCAAAGTTCCAGAGCGGGCATACATATCGACTAGAGAGCTTCCAAGAGATCCCTCTAAGATGAAGCCCTTCCGGATAAGAAAACCATGAATCTCTTTCCCTTTCTTCAGAACAGATAAACTCGCAACAGCCGATAGTATACTAACTAGTGCTATAGCATCAGGTTCAACATTTGTTTCTTTCATGAAGTGGCATAGTTCAAGGGCCTCATTTGCAAACCCATTATGAACATAACAAGAGATCATGCTCGTCCAAGACACAATATCCTTAGAGTCAATCAATTCGAACATCTGCTCTGCATATTTCACATATCCACACTCTCCATATAGGTTGACAACTGCATTTTGTAACACCAGATTGAATAAACCTCTTCTCACGGCGTAACCATGAACTTCTTTTACCAAAGAAACACATTTCAATGCCCCACAAACTGCTAAAATGCTTTCTACCATCATTGCATCAGCATCCAATCGGAGCGTCTGCACCTTCCGGCACAATTCTAAGGCCCTTAAGTGACAATTGTTCTGAGCATAGCCAGCAATAACAGTTGTCCAAGAAATTAAGTCCTTAGTAGGCATCTTGTCAAAAGCACGGCCCATGAAGTTCACACAACCACACCTAGCATACATATCTATCAGTGTATTTCCGAGCTGCAAATCAGAGTCGAATCCCTTTTTAATCGCATAAGCATGAGCTTCCAACCCAGACAACAAATCTCCTAATCGACCGGATGCTGCAAGGATATTTAATAGTGAAACCTGGTCAGGTTTTGTATCAGTACTCTGCATATCTCGGAACAACAGCAGTGTTTCGTCATATAGACCATTCTGGGAAAAACCAGAGAGCATGGTATTCCACGAAACAACATCCTTGGCATCCAAGTCCCTGAAGATTATTGCAGCCTCATGCATGTTACCACATCTTACGTACATAGCAAGCAAAGAATTCGCCACATAAATGTCAAAGAAGTGGCCTGATTTCAACACAGCAGCATGGATCTCCATACCAAGTTTACCACAAAAAGAATCCTCGCAGGCTTGAAGAGCGGCGACAAGAGTATATGAGTTCAGGGCAAGTCCCAAGCTTAGCATTTCTCGAAACAGCCCCAATGCTTCAGCTGATTTCCCATTTGCGGAATACGCTGAAATAATTGAATTCCACGACACAATATCCTCTTTTTCCTTCACACCATCAAATAACTTCCTCGCCCCGTCAACACATTTGCAGTTTGCATACATCGAAGCTAGTGAGTTGACAACGAGTGTTACATTACTATACCCGTATTTGATAGCCAGACCATGAATTTCTGCCCCAGAGTGGAGATTGTTAACCGCAACGCACGCTTTCAGAATACAAGGAAAAGTGCAAGAATCGAGAGGTACCTCCAAAACCCTCATGTCCCTATACAGCTCCAGAGCTTTCCAAGGCTTCCCGTTTGAAGCACAAGCAGCAATCATCGCGTTCCAACTGAAAATCGTTCTGTGGGACATTTTATCAAACACCTTCTCCGCGTCCAAAAGAGAGCCACATTTCCCGTACATAAAAACAAGCTTGGTACTCAGAAATGCAGAATCAGACACATCACAACATTTGATCAACTGGGCGTGGATTTGCTGCCCTTCTGAGAGAGCCTTCTCGTTTGCGCAGAACTCGAGGACCGGCGAGTAAGCCGCATCCAGAGAAAGCTGAAGGGAATTTGGATGCGTGAGCAAACTGCCGAGTGAGTCAAAAGCTTCCCTGAGGCTTCCTCCGTCGCAAACCTCCTTCAAGGAAGGTAATTTAATGGGGTTTTGAGGGTGTTTGGAGAAGTGGAGAATCGGGTTTGGCAGAGCTTTCTTCAACATGGAATGGCGGTGCACGGCGGAGGAAGTGGAGGAGCAGTAGTGTCGGGTTGAAGTAGCCATTACATTAGCCGAGTACGTGCATGGCAAACGCAAGCGCTGCGCGGGACTATATTCTAGCGCATAATGAGTGTAATGCATGCGTTTTATATTGAGCTTTGATGTACTAGGACGGAGATTCAAACTCAAGTGTAGCGGAATTCAATTTTGAGTGCAAGCAGACCACCCAATACTACAAACAATTGATCTCAAAAAAATAATATCAACATCAGTTATTTTTTTCCAAGATGCATTTTGTTATTATCAGTTTTAAAATAATGACATGTTTACTTATTGAGAACGAGAAAGTTAAAAATTAGATAAGTTGGGCACAGGTGATTATAAATTGTAAACTAACATGCTTTTGATTTTGTATTCAATACTAACCACAACGAAGTAAAGAATCAAAATAATTTTAATACTAACGTTCTAGTAAACGCTCGAGTAAAGAATCAGAATAATTGTAATACTAACGTTCTAGTAAACGCTCGAGAAGTTGTGAATTAGAATGATTCCACTACCTAATCGAAAACAAAACACAACCTTTTGTTCATGAGAGGGGTAAATTTTACAAAAAGAAATGGGCAATAATAAGTGCCCAAAATGCACTATTACAAAAAGAATTGTAGCCAAAAAATGCCCACAATAGACCGATTTCACACTGGACCGATCATTTTTCACCCAAACGTCCCCATTCCTGGCACACTTCTCTGCTATACAACTTCCATCACACACCGTGTTAGTCCAACTATTTACATTAAAAATAACAAACAAACCAAAAAACCTGTAAGACTTGGACGCTCCTCGTCCGAAATGGAGAGCATCCTCCTATATTCATCCTAAAAGCATCGAGTATTGCCTTCCCAATCAGATGCTCAACCTGGTGTAGCAAAGATCCTGATAGGCAGCATGCTTGCGTGGTTTTCAACACTTAACAATTAGTTTATGAGTGGCTTTGTCTTTACTGTCAATCCTCTGTAGTTTTCTCCTGTTCCGGTCCAGGCCAGCCCTGCTGTCACATTTGTACCCTTTAGCATGAGACGCACTTCTGTTCTTTTCATCACGAGGGTTCGGGTCTTAGTTAGAACCGAGGGCTGCCCCATTTGCTGAAGTTATCACACTTGAATCATATTTTAGGATCATCACCCCTGATTCATTGATGCTCTCAAGCTCTCCTCTGGCACTGTCCATGACAACAAATGCCCGCCAGAATCCCCGCTTAGTAACTGCTTGAGGTCATTTGTAAGGAGAAGGGCAGTAACGGGATGCTTATGAAACTTGAGCACCTTGTGGAGGACCAACCTGTACTCTGGCACTTTATCATTGAGATTTAAACCACCCATCCCATTGCTCGTTGACTTCTGTTGGGAACTCTCTAGGTTGGTGTGGTGAACCATTTGCCACACCTTAACAGCCCCACTTTGATGACCCGTTACAAACCAGTTTGCGTCCAGCCAATCAGAAATTGAACTACTTGTAACAGAAAGAATTGAATCAGAAGGCAGTTGAGACGTGTTAACCATTGCAAGGCAGTCCCCATTAACGCTCCAAACTGCAAGTAAAATTCCAGCTGCCGTCACAATATCCCCTGTCAAGTCATTCACATAAATCGCAGAAATCGGCGCTGGAAACTCAGGGAGCTGCCTAACAAAAACCAAGGAGCTGAGATCCCATACAACAACAGTGCAGTCATCTGATCCACTCACAATCAGCATGTAAGGCTGGCTAACATGAAGACATGTAATTCTGGATGCGTGGGCGCAAAGTGCCTTCTCCAACTGCAAGCGTCTCAAGACACGGGGGCCATAATTACTGATTCTCCAAACAGAAACTAAACCATCATCAGCCCCAGTGACCAGAATCTGACCATCATGGCTAACGCCAGTACACTGAATCTGGTTGCCCCCATGAAGATTCTCGTGTGTCGATAGGAGTCGATCTTGATCATAGCTCATAAATCTTAAGCTACGATCTGGGAAACCCCATGCAACATACTTGGTATACGTTCTTGGCTTAAGCAAACAATTTGTTCCTGCCACTAGGATTTTCTCATTGACAGTAACAATCTGAGTTATCGAAGACGATGTCTTGCGTATCTCATGCTGAACGAGATGGTGCGAGTACTTAAGTGGATGAGGAACCCTTCTGTTGACCTGCCTTTTCACATGGGGTTTGAGGAATAGCTGTTTGGGTGTCTGCCCAAAATGATTAATCTGTGCTAGAATTGAGGCTTTCATTGCAGGATCTGTCACCGAGTCTATGTCTACACTCCCCTCGTACGTGTAGTGATAGAAAACATTCACAGCTTCCTCAGCTGCCTGTCAATTTCAAGGAAATTTATAATGAAAAGCAAACCAAAACAGAAAGAGTAAAGTAGAACACTAAGTCAGGACCAGAAGAAGTGCGGTAAACACAAATGCTTGGCACAATATGATCCAGAATAGAAAAATAGTCGGGTAGTATTATATCTCAGCAAATTTTCAGCCAACAATTGCTTTATCAAATTGAAATAAGCACATGCAAAGATGAGGACTTCACTATTCACCAGTTCAAGTTAGGTTTGGGTATATCTCATGCAATCACATATATGTGGGCAATTTGTCTCTAGGTGCGGTAAATACTGAGCTGAAAGATGAAACTAAAATGATGCCACAAATTTCTCTGAAGAACTTCCAGGTGCACAAGTGCAACGTTATGAGGCCTATTAAAAGCTTATGAATGAGTTGCAGCATGCCAGGAATGAATCTCAATACGAACCTTTCCTCTCTGTTTATATCCAAAAATGAGATCTATCCAATGATGCAAATTTTGTGAAACGTAATCAGATTCCAGGGCCTCCCTGTGCTTCTTGATGAATTCTCTAGCACTGCCCTTAGCCCATGGAGGTAAGCCAACATCACCAACCTAATGATAGAAATTAAAGAGATAATGTTTAAATTCTCAAATAGTAGAAAGAAAAAAAAGAGGATTCAAGTAGCATTGGGCTCTTGCTCTCAAAAAAAAAAGTGGCATTTGGCTAGAGCACAAAAAACCCCATTTCCCCTACCTTAACTATTACTACCTTAATAGCATTTTCAAAATTGTATGTACCAACAAAAGAAACTTTTGTTAGAGCATCTTATTTTGTTTATTAGAAAGCACAATATTTTGTTTATTAGAATGTACAATAGAAAGTTGTACAAGCCTACCAAAATGGTATATGCATTTGGGCCCTCAAGGGTGGTTAACGACTCTTGAACATCAAATAATTCTTATTCTTAGTAAGGGATTAAGATGTTTCACCTTCTCTCCTGATTGCTTCTCTCCCAAATCAAGATTGAAACGATTTTCCAGGAACTCTGGCATGTAGAAAAATTCAGGAATCAACTCCTTCACATCTGATGTGTTGCCCCTTCCAGCTGCACTGAACCAAGTATCTTTAATACTATTAAAAAGACGATCAGCATGGTCAAATTGCCCTCCCTGTAACTTTTGATTCTCTGTACTGAAAGGTGGTAGGCGTAGAAGATAGAAGAGGACAATCCCAGCACTGGAATAATGAGAACCATAATGGAACTTTGGGACCTCCGGATCATCCCAGCTCTCGTACCTGAGTAGAGAAGGAAACATAAGATGAATAAATAAACAGTGCTGATAACATACATCCAAAAAAGTATTTCTGCATATAGAAAACCATGCTAAAGTGCTTCATGTGGTTAAAACAACTATATAGAAATAAAACAGGAAAAACTGTAATCAAAGAAAACACAACTTAAAACTTAAAAGTGAAATAAGAATAAACCAGTGGAATTGATATTACCTTTTCCTGAATTCTTCTCTGCCCTCTAATGTTTGACAACCCATCGGTTTGTCAAGTCCACGAAAAGTTTTGGGATCTGATAAGTCCAGGTTTTCACTCTCATAATCTGCAAGAACCCATGGAAACACTGGATATTGGGTAAGATCACTGTATCCCCGTCCTGCCAACGTGTTGAGATGCATGAGGTACTGGAAATTGCTTATTTCTCCATTTTGCCACCTCCTTGAAAAGGACTTGGCCATTGACTTAAATAGGCGGCTACCCTCATTGCTTTCTTGTTTTGCTGATCCTGATATGGTTGTGTCCAACCTAAAGCAAGGAATAGAATTACGAATTAAAAAATTACTGGCAAAAATCCCAAAGGTGATACAAAAGATATTAGGCAGGAAAACCATCAATACACAAGTAAAACACTAATATAGGTAAATTTGCAGTTCATATCTTACTTAAATGCTATGTTCCACAATATAAACTTGCACAGTTTCAACATCCCGAGTCCCAAAAGGGCACACAAACAAAACACACACAAAGACAGACATACACACACTAGTAGACCAAAAAAATCATGCAAAAATATACAAATACAACAATTATAACACGAAAAGAAATATTGGAAAAAAAAATTAGAGGGAACTGGGAATTGATTGCTTACATGCTATTTCTGGGAAGATTCATGGCTACTAGATTTTTGAAAACTTCTTCCCTTTCTTTTTTGTGGAACACCAAAAGATCATTACATCCATCCATGCTAAAGATTTCAATAGCAACAGGACGCAGCTGGTAATCACGCTTCAAAAGCTCATGAACACTGTTCAGTTTCCACATGTTCCACGGGTGAGGTAGATTACCACTAGTAGAGACTTTCTCCTTTCCCCATGCACCGCCATTGTAGGCCCATGCTCTTCCCCCAACTCCTGACTTTACTGTTGCTCCCCAAGATGAAGTTGACTTTGAATGGAAATCCATAGTAACATCCTTCTTTACACCAAGAGCCTGATCAATGATAGAGAGTTCATCTTCGCATTCCTTTTCACAAATACACCCAGAGTCATCGATATAGAAATTTTCAATCACATACAGAGAATGCTCGCCTATTAAAAATATACCATCATGCTTGTCCAGACCCATAACTCGTTCACAATTATACCGAAATCGTATCTTTTCAAAAGGTTCCAGATAAGGCCTGATCAGGTATTCACCATTATCATGGAGTTCCTTATCCGATTTATCATCTGTGACTTTGACATCATCAATTCTTGCAGAAGAAGATTGCCATGGAGACCCTAGGTCAGATCTTTCATGTACACTGTCATCCATGGGGACAGATGCTGAACTAGATTTTCCACCAAACTCGAGTGCAGAGTGCAAACTTGCTTCATTGATACTACTAG